AACTAGACAGGGCAACTATCTGTGAACAATTGATTATGGATAAATTCTCGAAACAAGACAGGGTGACCATCTACAAGACCAGACGAAGCAATCTTACACGGGTTCCTTCTCATGATCTCCATATGCATCTTTACACAAACTCATCCTGAAGCAATCTTACGCAAATTCCTTCTCATAATTTTCAGATGCAGTTTAACACGGACGCATCCTGAAGCAGCCTTACACAGGCTCCTTCTCATATATCTCCAGATGAAGTTTCACACGGACTCATCCTAAAGCAGCCCTACACGGGCTCCTTCTAATACATTTCCAGATAACAGTTAATTTCATTCTCCCCAGCAAGTTACTGTGAAGCCTAGATTTCAACCGGAAAACAGTTAACGTTTATCTCTCCAGTCCAGAGATAACTCCTCAGTAGAGCCATGGACAACTAAAGCTCCTACACTATATTCCCCATAGAGTTTCCCTCAAGTAAAAGAACAAAGATCAATATTCCCCAGTGGAGTCCTCCTCAGACAACAGGAACAAGAATCCCCATAAAGAGACCTCTTATGAAGTCAACATTTATTTTGGATGGCATCTTTAAGCCCATCTCTGACAATTCTCAGTCATCTTCTCTAAATGGCATATGTAAGCCCATTCCTAATATCATCAACCAACGACGTTACTCCATGCGAGCGAAATTTTCTGGGCACTATAATGTTCAATCATCTTCTACCTTCAGATCATGAAAGGCAGACAAGCCAATCTAAATCTTCAGTTTTAAGAAGATTGAACAGGGGCAGCTGTTGTACCCTAAAATTTTCCCTCCCATTTTTACTCAAGACATGCTCATGGAGGTCCTCAATTGCTCAAGAGGTTTCAAATGATTTTCATGGCACCCTATATGCCTCAGCATAATGGCACAACTGAGAGAAGAAAAGAAGTATGCATGACAAAGTGTAGGTCGAAGGCTGAAAATATGCCTAAGGGCTTTTGGGTCGAAGCAACTTCGACAGCAGTATACAGGCTAATTTGATGGAGCGAAGGAGGGCTAGTTCGAAAGAAAGCGTGAGAAGGATTTTATGAAGCCTTCGATTGAGAGAGCTGGTAATGAGCACCATCGAAAGGTTCGTTTTCGAACTTTGAAATACAGGCCATTCGAAGCATTACAAGGAGAGACCTTTTGATTGCCATGTTGTTTGAAAGGGCACTTCGAATAGAAGAATATTTTGAATTCGAAAGCTTTTATGTTATCCAAAGAAACATGTGAAAATCTATTAGTTCGAAGGACATGCCATCTTCAAGCATGGTGTGATCGAAAGACAGTTAGAGATGAATCATCCAAATATGAGTCATCTTAGAGTTTTGGGGATTAATGTGTTTCAGGCATGTACCTGAACAGGCAAGGAAGGAGTTGGGTAATCAAAGTAAAGGCTTGGTGCTTATAAGTCATCCTTCGATTGGCGCATATAAGCTATATTCACCAATCGAAGGTGAACTAGTGATCAACAGAAAATATTTTTTTGTAGACATAAGCAAAGGGTGGGAGTTGGAATCAAAGAGCCACCTGCACAACTACATTCAAAGGAGATGACAAAATGAAGCTTCGATAAACCAAGAGGAAGAGGTGGTCGAATTGAAGGAAAGGAAATCGAAAGGAACCAGAGTTTAATTCGATTAGGCTAACTGAATAGTTTCAGATCAAGCAACTAAGGCAGATAATGGCTCAATCGAAGAAGCCACAATGATGAGGCCTTGAACCATTCAAATTGGGACTCAGAACCATCGAAAAATAAAACTTGGGAGTATTCGAAAAGTACATATGTGGGGGTGAAACCTGTCCAGGTTCACTCAAAACCCAAAATGGTAGAAAATCATCAAAATGGCAACCTCTTAAGACTTTCGATTTTGCCTTCAAAGCCATGGTTAATGGCTGATTCTTGCCATTTTCGTCCACCACCACGCCCCTATAAATACAATATAGGATTGTCTATCAAAGGGCCATACACACACGCATTAGCCAGACGAAACATTGCCTCCAGAGACAAAAAACATTGCATGCACACACAAAAAGCTACCCTAGAAAACCACCCCAGATTCTCCAAACCTTCACAAAGTTGTCAGAATCGAAGCAATCTTTGCAGGCTTCCTCAATCCAAAGCAAGCATTCCACTCATTCCCTCCATTGGTAACAAGCCTTCGATCTCAAACTCATTCAATATGTAATTTAAATCCATATTGATCATATATCCATGCTATGAATGATGTTTGTGATTGTTTTAACGTGTTACATGTGAAATCAATACTAAAGTAACAAGATACCATTACTAGGACATGTGAAACAGATTCCTTCGAATCTCAAAATCTAGGCATCTCTATCCTTTTGCCTTGTGCAACGCGCATGTGTTGATTTCGAATTCTCTCTCTCTCTCTCTCTCTCTCTCTCTCTCTCTCTATATATATATATATATATATATATATATATATATATATATATATATATATATATATATATATATATATATATATATATATATATATATATATAAAAAATTTGTTTTGCTAATGGAATGTTATGATTTTATTTGTACCAACGAATGAACCAACAACTCAGATGGTAAAGGGGAACATATGTAGTGGAAAGGGCCTGGGTTCGATACCCAGGTCATGTATTATGTTTTTTCTAATAATTATCTTGTAGATCCAGTGTGCTGCGTTTCAAACACTTCCCATGCGCCTTCAAGTTCCAGCCAATGGATGACAAGGAGATCAGATCCAATGCTCCAGGAGCACCACCTCATGATGGACCCTCAATGGCCAATAACACAGGATCCCAACATGGCCTGAGCTTATTTTCATTTGGACTAAAGAAAAATCCAATTCACACCCCCTGTTACCCTTTACTATCCTGGCCCATTTTATTTTGCTTTTAATTGTTTTTTTTAAAGCATTATAAAATCAGATAAAAAAATCACAAAAAAATTAGGTTAGTATTTTCTCAATTAAAATTTTGTAAATCAATTGATTAATTATTTTAACCCTTTTCTTAATTTATTAATAAATAGACTTAGGATTTTTAAATTACGTTTCTTTTCATAGGTCAAAAGCAAACATAAAGATTTCATTTTTCTTAGGATATTTAGACATATTTTCAATTCGCGCGTTTACTTTTAGTGTCACACTTTTGCATTTTATGTATCTGCTTACTGGGATGTAATAGACTTAACTAGGACTTTATTTTACTGCTTTTTAAATTTCCTCCAAGTTTGGACATGTAATTAATCCCCTCCCCAAAGCCATGTAATAGCGTAGGGTATAATTTCCGCACTTTATATTTCCTGTACATTATTAACTGCTTAGATGTATGATTAATATAATTGCATGATAAGACTAAAAGCAAACATTAGCAAACCTAACACAAGATAAATAACTGAAAACAACACAATTTCACATGCGCACCTCTAGGGTATCTCACTTTGGTCGCCTTCGGAAAACAGTCACAACTCTCGAAACGTGAGAGATTTTAGTGGCTACCCTCCGGTTTAAAAGATCATAAGTCCCTCGATGACCCTCTCGACGTTGCCTCGGTAAAAATGATCTTAAAACCCTAGGATAGTCACTAAGGTTTCTTGCCCAGTTGCCTTTGTGACTATAAAACGTTCATTCGAATGTCCCTCAAACATCCAACAACTAGGGCTACCTACTCACTAATAGTAGGATAGCACTATCTAAAGGAAAAGATGAAAAATAATAACCTTTCGAGTAAAAGTAGATAGTTCCTAGATGCTATGCTCCAAACAAATTTTTTACACTTATACAAAACATTTTCAAAAACATTTTAAAAACGCTTTATCAACACTCTTGAGGACTGATACAAGAGTTATCATAAAGCAAGCTGCCTTACTACTGGCATTTTAAAAAATACTTTTAAAAAACACACAAAGCACAAGGTATTTTCAAAATGAGCTAAGCATCTAAGAGCCTGTAGAAAACTACGGATGAAAATGGTGCTAACACATTCCCTTTCCATAATCTACCCCCTTACTCAGAAAACTCCCGAAAGGTCTTTTTCTGTTCTTTTCACTCTTTCCTTTGTTGGATAAAAGAAAAGTCGGTGGCGACTATTGCTTACCGCAATATTTGCAAACACAAACGCAAAATCAGTATAACAGTCAGTTCTCTCACCGTATTACAAAGTCTAAAGATAGGAAGAAGAACTAAACCCTAGTATGATCTTATTGTGATTGATTTGATATGAGATGATAGAGGAATCTTAGAGACAAAAATTGCGGTACAACACTCGGGTACAAAGATTTTTTTCAAACTGCGGATATGGAGATGTGTACTATAATATTCTACCCAAGCTCTATCAATTGTCATCCATATGTTGGAGTTGATCTGTAAAATTATCACTCTAACGCCAAAGTCAATTACATAGTTTAAGATCAGTGAAGTGAAATGATGAGATAAAAAAGTATACATTCGATCTGACGTATGTTGATTGTATATGTTGGATATGTGAATTTGATTCGTATTGAGTTTTTGATTGGTCCATAACAATTTATAATAATAAATTTAAATAAAAATATGAATTTAGGTTAATAAAGGTTAAGTTAGTGAAAAAATTTAACAAATTGAAAAGTTAATAAAAAAATATAATAAAAACAGTAATGTAAAAATAGTATTTATAATCAAGCATGTATGATGTATCTTCTCTAAACTCAAGCGACCTTTACCTTAGTCGTGTGGCACTAACGTCAAAACAAAAGTATGGGGTGAGAGAGGCTCGAACTCTCGACCTCAGGATCACTCAGAAGCTATGAGACCTACGCGCTAGCCAACTGCGCCACCACCCCATTTGTGAATACATTTAAAATTTACAAATTTCACAGCCAAACAACAATTAAATCAAAACTACCACAACTTTAATTCATTTATTTTAAACCTAACAGGAAGCATAAACATCAAGCAAGATACCGCCACAGTGAACCACTTTCCGGTCAAATTCCTCCACAGCGATGGGCAACAACCGCCAACACCGGTTCAGAAACCACCGTCAGAATCACGCTCAATCAAGTCGACACTCACTGTAATCCACCACTTCTTTTTATTTCCTATTTTCGCCACCGCTTTTCTTATTCATCTATATCCATCTTTTTCAGAGACAACGAATCTCAAAGCTCCGTCGTTCAAGGTTCGTTTCACTCTTCAAATCATTTACTACTTTATTCCATACAGAAATTTTCATCACATGTATCTATCTATCTGCAGAAACTCGTGACGGTCATAATAATGAAGAAGCGGAGGAACTCACTAAACCTAAAATAAAGCTTGCAATGTGGGTATGCATACATACAATACAACTCTTTTTACTATTATTATTATTGTTATACTTACGAAGCACAGACACCTCAAACTCTGACACTGACACGACGAGACGAAACCAGGGATAAATAAAGCAAACCGAATCACTAGAGTCAGTGACACAGACACGTCTTTTTAGAGGTGTCGGTGTTACATAACTGTATACATGATCTACGAATTTGGATCTAATATCATGTTATTTCATTGTTAAACTCAGGATTTTGGCCAATGCGATGCCAAAAAATGCACCGGACGCAAGCTTTCAAGGCTGGGTTTTCTAAAAGTAAGTACTTGTTATATTTTTTTCAACCCCGATCCTTAGAGGTATCATAGTATCTGTAGATACTAGATATACTTAAATTGATGATATAAAAGGTTGGTTAATGGCTGTGTGTGCTGTGAGCAGAAGCAATACTTAGTTTGTTCTATTTTGTTGTTGATTGTATAATCTATGAAGATCTAATTACAGTATTGAAAGATGCTTAATATAATATGTCAGTGGTACTGATTCTGATCTATCTTGTGCAGGAGTTACGTGTGAGTAATGGTTTTGGGGGAATTGCTTTAAGGTAGTTGGTCATACATAAATTATCTTTCTGCTGCTATTCTTATCAACGTTTTTAAGTAATAATTTTTTTTAAAAAGCAGAAATTTCACAGCTAGGCGAAGTGGGTGCTAAGTTGCTATCTTTGTGAAGCAGTCTTTTGACTATGGAGTAGCTATATATAGTACGATATTGCAATTCTGCAAGTTCCTTTGTTAACTGAAAAGTAATTATTTATTGTAATTCTGTTTTGACAGTCCTGTTGGACAGCAATGTGTCTCAAGAGAAGATTCTTCTTTAATCCAGAATAAAGGATTGGCTGTTGTGGATTGCTCATGGGCACGCTTAGATGATGTGCCTTTTGCGAAGTTGCGCTGCCCCGCTCCTCGTCTCTGTATGAGCTCGTACACTGACAATAATATATTTAATTTTTATTTATTATTTGTATTCTTGGTTTCACATAGCTATTTAATTACATTCTGTTCAAAGTCAAATACTGTAATGTAAAAACTAGGTTATCAATAATGGATATAGCACCACTATCGCAGCGGAGGGGCCAGTGGCCGACTGGCTGCTACCTTCCGGCAATAACGCCACACCATGATACTTATAAATTTCTTCTAGCACCATTGCATTTAATTATTTTGCCTCATTTAGGGTTGCTTCATTTACAAGGAATGTAATGATTTGTTTTTATTGCAGTGCCATGGCTTGTAGCAGCAAACCCGATAAATTATGGTCGGCCATGTCAGCTATCTTGTGTAGAGGCCTTGTCTGCTGCTTTGATAATATGGTACCAAAATGATATTATCTATGACTGATATCTTGGGTTTTGGTTTGTTCCTACATTTCAATCCCTTGCAAAATTTGTTACTGAAATTTAGTATACCTTATGTTTCATGTTGGCTGATTTGCTACTAATTGCTTGCAATGTACTGTGCAAAACAGATCATGCTATCACCAATGAATTTTTAAATGGAACAAAAGTTTAGGCCCAATAGACTTTGCAGTTGGCAGCATATACATTGGATTATTCATTCTTCTTTGATGTCTGGTTGTTAAAATGAAAACATTTGGGTTTAAGTTCTTGCTATGATCTTCTTGCAGTGGAGAAGAAGAAACAGCAAATCTGGTGCTTGGCAAGTTTAACTGGGGTCACTCTTTTACGTCTCTGAATAAGTATGATATGATTTATTTATTTAATTTTATATTTTCACTTTCCATCCTGATCATTTTCATTTATGAAAACAACTTATGACATATTCATCAGCTATTTTCAGCTTACTTTCATAAGCCCAACAAAATAGCATATATTAAAACAATTTAAATTTATTTTATCTTTTGTTATCAAGATAATATATCTCTAAGTGGTTGTCATGATAAGCGCATTTGCTATAAGCTGCAAATTTTATCCAAACATAGCCCTAGTTCAAGCATATGCATAGTATAATTTGAGACAGGGTGCGCAGAGCCCCTCTTGATATCATTCAAACCCTGCTATTCATGATTCTATAAACACTATTCGAAATGTAGCTTACATAGCTTTCTATGTCTTTTATGAAGCATATATTATAAGCTTGACATTGAAGTAAGCTGCACTTACAGACGCATATTGCAATAAAAACCATCTCTGTATGTAGCCATGATTCATTAAAAGATTTTTTTGTAAAGAAATAATTTGAGACTTTCATGTTAGAATTGATTTAGGTATTTACTTTTGTATCTGATTGTTTTCAAACCATAATTGAGAGATATAATATGTACCCGAGCATACAATTTCACTCTGTTATTCTGTTTCTCTGTAAAACCACTGTATTCAAGGAGTTTATGATGATACATATTCATTCAAGTTGTTTTGTCTCCATGAGATTCGTGACTAACATGCGATTCACTGAGTTTGATTCTCAATTACCCGTGGCTTCAAAGACTTTTTCTAAATTAAGAAACTTTCTTTAACCAATGCAGGGAATTACTGAGGGCCTACTCTAAATGCCAAAACAGTGCTGAAATTATTTCTGTTCAAAATGATTGGCTATCACAAGCACGTCAGGTTCCAAGGGCTCCTCCTACTGATAGCAAAGGTATGTGTATGATGTAATATCTATATATCTATTTTACATGATGGTGGGACTGTCGCATGAAGTTGTTTGATCCATGTAGATCAATCTTATCTAGTGAGGAAAAAGTTGTCAGTGCTGTTTTTTTTGTTGTATCAGACATATAGATACCTCTAATATATCATGAATTTTTCTCGTGTTTTTATTCCTTTGCTACATAGCAGATGTTATGCATGAAAATGAAGATAATGTTCAAAACTCTTCCGATTCTGAAGATGGGCTTCCACCTCTTGAAAGGAATGTGAATCATTTAAACATAGACAACAGTGATGAAGAGAGTGAAGATGAGCTCCCACCTCTTGAAAGGAACATGAATCATTTGAACATAAACAATAGCGATGAAGAGAGTGAGTAGATTTGTTTTAAATCTCTGATGACACATAATACTTCTCTAACAGTGCTGCTGTACTGCAATCAATCTGGACATGTGCTCAATGTAGAATTGCTTAGCAGAAAGCTTTTCAGCTGAGATATGTATTTGTTTCCAGTTGTTTATTTTGCTTATACATATATTTTAAAATAATTAAATATAAAATGTGATGAGTGTTCATAACTTGTAAGCTTTACATGTATTTTCCCCTTTAAAGCCTCTAGTGTTTATTTGATAACATTATGTGTAACTTTATTCCGTTTAACTTCTCCCATGGCCAAACATTATTCCATTAAGATCGGTGACATGGATTAAATGATGGCATAATATCAAATTATTTTTACCTTTTTAAATATTTTTTTAAGGATTGTTCAAATATTTATTTTTACATTTTCTTTTTTACATTTATTCTAGGATTATTATTGGTAAAAATTGTACAGATCTTTGAAAAAGAAATAAATTGAATAGAAATTACATTTTATGAATAGTGTTGAAAATAAAAATCAGTTCAAAGACTAGAAACAAAGCCGATACAATAAGTTTGTTGCTTTGTCCATAATCATTCAAAACTTTATTTTTATGTTTCAATAATTTTTTTATACTCATGTTTCAATATCTTTATTTTTAGAGAAATGATCATTCCATTTTATAGGGTGTGCTTCACACCTCTAAAAATTTGAAAATGTCTATTATTTCAGAGATGTATTTTCGACACATCCAAAAATCACATTACTCATCACATTCCAGTCACTTCATTTTGGTCAAAATATATTTCGGGAATGCATCTCTGTAATATATTTGGGGTGTATCTGGAAATACAACTATGTAACATTCAAGGTATTTATTTATGGTATTTTAATTCATTGAGCTGGTTTATTTAACAATTCAGTGATGTTTTCGGAGACGCATCATAAAACACCACCTTGCATATTTTTCTTCTTCATGTTAAAACTCGAGTTCACTCTCTAAACCCTTAATTTTTTTTGACAAAATACCCATTTTGGCCCCTTAATTATACCTTTGAGTTCAGATTGGTCCCTTAATTTTTTTTTGTGTCACTTTGGTCCCTTAACTTTCAAAACGTTTCATTTTAGTTTTTTTTGTCTAATTAGCGACGGAAAAACTTTGAAATTCGTCGCTAATTGGACAAAAAAGATTAAAACACAACGTTTTGAAAGTTAAGGGACCAAAGTGACACGAAAAAAAATTAAGGGAGCAATCTGAATTCAAGGATATAGTTAAGAGATCAAAATGAGTATTTTGCCTTTTTTTTTTAATTCTTAATCAACTTTTTAACACCGAACATCAATTTTATCACACCAAAAAGAGAAAGGGAAACTGAAATTCAGGATAAAGTTCATTTATTTCATCCCTCATTCCTTGCTTTAATGTTTTTTTTAGCAGCAAATATGTACGATGTGTCTGAAGATTCATATCCGAATTCAGTTTCATGTGATCCCGAGATTCATCTCTGGATGGTCTTGATAGTTTTTTACTATGTTTTTCTATTACTATTTGTGTTAGATATGATGCCCCCGAATATGTTTTCCAAAGTTACTGTGAGAATGAATGTTGAACTGAATGAAGTGAAAGATGATGTTAAACTGGATGAAGTGAATGATGATGTTAAATTGGATGAAGTGAATGATGATGTTAAATCAGATGATGGTAAATTGGGTGCTAGATCGGTTGTTGTAGAGATAGATGTTCGTGAATAATTTACAAATAAATAAGAGTTTATTATTTGTGAACATATACTACGATGGGTCTGCATGGAGGCCAAAAACTGAGATTTGACGCTGTAATCGAAAGGTCGGACAACGGTTATGATATAATACAATAATTTATAACAATGAGATACGAAAGAAGTGCCACATACCAACAACCGATTAGGAAATTGAAACGTGATTGCATCCGATCGAGAAAATGTGAGTGTCCATTTAAATTGCGCGGATACCGTAAGGCGAATTATACATGAAAATTTAACGTGGTTTATGGTATACATAATCATGCCTTGAGTGACAAGCTTGTCAGTCATTCAATTGTATGCCGCCTTATTTCGAAGAAGAATGAACTTGTTTTGGACATGACATTAAACATGGTGGCGCCGAAAAAATATACTTGCAACTTTAAAATAGAAAATACCTCAAAATGTTTCAAATATCAAACAAGTATACAATGTACATGCCCGAAACAACAAGATGGTAAGAAGTTCAAGATTTGAAACCAATATGTATGGATGAAATTTACACTCATTGAAAACTACTTCGATTTGATGATGATGATGGTCTGATGAAGGATCAATCAAGCATAACTATTATGACCGAATGAGAAGCAATTTAAGAGACATTTTTGAAAGTCGATGACATCATGAAATTGGTTAGGGAAAGAGCTTAAAGTTTATGATATTGAGAACATTATTCCTACTAATCTGATTGGAACCAAAGTGTGTGATTTGGTTGATGAGAAAAGAGAGTGTAGATGAAGTATTCTCCAAGACTGGTTGGACAAAATGAGATTGTGACTTTTTTATTTTTTTATTTTGCAGGTAATGACAATGGAGATTTTTTGATGAATGAGGTTTATCATTATGTAGAAGGTTTTGAGGATGAATTGGTGGATGATGTTTGGAAGCTGATTTGGAAAATCGAAGCCCTGGAGAGATGCCAAAGTTTTATTTGGTTAATGAAGGCAAACTTCAGTAGACACGGGAAAGGGTTGGGTCATGCTAGTTGTAAGTTATGTGGTAATGCTTGTGAAACTATTATGCATGCCATAAGGGACTATGCTAAAGTTATGCATATTTAGAAAAGTATCGCTCTGAGTAGTATTTTCAATGATTTATTATATTTGAATATTCAGAATTGGATTAAAGTTAACCCGAAGTTTCATGGATATGGTATCAAGCGGTGGAGCAGTGTGTGGGATATCGCGTGTCATGCAATTTAGATGTGAAGAGATACGGAATAATATTATGAGTTTTATGTGAGACCAAGCGAGCCATCTCTTCACATTTTACAGAGAAGAAAAGATTATGAACTTGCAAAGAATCTAATAGTGCAAGTGACGAGAAATAGAGTGAGGAGTAGGAACATTGAGTGGAGGCCACCTACGGATAATATGGTGAAACTCAATACAAATGGAGCCAATAAAGAGGATAGTATAACTGATTGTGGGGGAGTTATTAGAGATGAGATAAGTGATTGGATCAGTGGTTTCTCCAAGCACTTGGGACACTGTAGTGCAATGGTGGAAAAATGTTAGGTGTGTTTATGAAGGGCTAAAACTTACTAATAGGTTAGGTTTGAGGATAATGGAATTAAATGTGTATTCTGTGCTAGTGGTGAAAACTATTGAGGGGGGTATTGACAGTAATGCTAGTTGTTTGGCATTGATCAGAGACATAAGGAAGTTGATAGTGGATCATGAGTATGTGCAAGTAGCTCATACTTACAGAGAAACAAATTTATGTGTTGATACCCTAGATAATATATGATGCTTTAATAAGACGTTTCAAGTCTATGGAGAAGCTCCAGCAATTTTAACAATCTTGTGGACTCTGACAGAGCTGGTGCTGTTACTCTAGAGATGAGTTTGTGTAGTGTTTTTGTGTTTGGGCTTCGGCCCTCAGGTTCATAAAAAAAGAGAATTTCTTATTACACTATATATAGGTGAAAAGAACTCTATGAAAATTCAAAATTGTCTCTATGTTTCTGGAAGTATATTTCTGGATACATCCTTAACATCACACAAATGCAAGCAAATGTAGTGTCATCCTATAGTCAAGTTAAAAAAATATTCCGGAGATATATCTTCGGAATTATATTATAATTAATTGCTTCAGAATCATTACAGGGATATATCCGGAGATGTACCTCTGGTAAATTAGTGCGGGGAGTTAGAATTCATGTCACATTTGCATGTCAGATTTTTTCAGAGATGCATATCTGAAAAAATCAAAAGTCAAATTGCTAAAAATAACAACCTCCATGATTCCCTTCATTTGCAATATTTTCCTTAAACCCTCTCTAAAAACCCTTCCATTCTCAATCAAGTTTTCACTTCAAATATTCATTCTTGTGTTTCATCATATCAAAAGAAGTTAAAGGAAGTGAAATTTAAGGTAAAGTTCATTCAAATTCAACCCACATTCCTCACATTAATATGGTTTTAAGCAAAAAAAGGGAACGCTGTAACCGAAAGTTTATTTCTGAAATCTATATAAACTCGTCCAGATATACATTTTTGATAGTTGTTTGTGCTGATTTTCCAGTAATTTTATTCGTGTTATGGATGTTTCTTAGTTTATATGTTTTTGTTTACATTAGGTATGGTGCATCCCGATGCTATTCCCAAACCTATTGTGTCTCAAGATGTTTCACCTATCCTAGTGAAGGTGGTAGGTATTCAGAACCATTTTAAAAATGAACAAGAGTATAAATTTTGTGATGACATGTTGTAGTGGATTCATACAGAGCCTACCAAATTAGAGTTTGGTGTTGTGATCGCAAGGTCGGATAATGATTCGGATAAAAAAAAGTGGATTTGTGACATTGGGATGTGAAATAAGAGGTAAATATAAACCCCTCTCTGGAATTTGAAACGAGATGAAACTGGTTCAAGAAAATGTGAATGTCTATTTAAGTTACGTGATTATCGATTGGCAAATAATAAATGGAGATTTAATGTGATGTGTGGTTTACATAATCATTATTTATGTGTAAAATTAGTCGGTCATTCAATTGCATGTCGGATCTTGCCGGAAGAGAAAGAGTGTGTTTTCAACATGACATTGAATTTGATACCTCCAAAAAACATACTTACAACCTTGAAGGGCAAAAGACTCGGGAATATCTCAAATATCAAGCAAGTGTACAATAGTCATTACCAATCCAAATTAGCACTAAGGGGGGATCAAACCGAAATGTAACACCTTTTGAAACTTCTAGTTGATAACAATTACGTTTCTAGGTACCAGAGATGTG